AGTAGTTCCCGGTTTGCGAGGGAGCGCTCCTTACTCCATTGGACAGCGGCGGGGGGGTGGCGTCGCGTCACGGTCACATGACCCGCCAGCCGCTGCTGAGTCCGTACACACCGCACGTGACTGCGAGCCGGGCGAGCCATTGGAAGTGCGGCCATCGCGCTACCCCCGGCCCAGGTGGGCGGCGGCGGCCCCCGGCACGCGTCACGTGGCCAGCCTGTCGCGGGAGCCGCCCCCTCATTGGTCCGAAGTCTCCCGGGGGACTCGGCGCCACTGGCCCAGACTTAGCGCTGGAACGTGAGGGCGCCCTCCGTGCTTCCAGGCAGCCCGGCCCGGGGGGGTCCTGGTCTGCAGTGGGCCGCGGGGACCGCCCCGTGTCCTGGACGAGCGGTGGAAAAACCCGGGGACCTGGGGACGCGCTTAGCACGTCCTGCCCGGCATGGCACAAGGCCCCGAGTTCAGCCCCCAGCGCTGCAGACAACTGGGGACGTGGAAGCGCGTGCCTGTAAATGCACGGAAGGTTAGGAAGCCAGGGGATTGCAGGCCAGCCGCGGAAGCAGCGACATATCCTGGACAAAACAAGGTGAAACAGGACACAGGTGGGCGGGGCACTGGAAAGATGGCTAACTACTTAAGAGCACGTACTGCCAAGTCAGAGCAGCCTAGTTCGGGTCCCAAGACCCTCCTAGGGCGGTTGCTACCTGAAACTCCGGCACCAGGAGATCCAGTGCCAACTGATGGCTTATCCACACCCATGTGGTTTATGTGGGTGCGCACGTACACATACATAAAGCCACCCAAAATTTAAAAAAACAGCAGGTCACAGTGTAGGGCTTTAATCCCAGAGTTTGGAAGATGGAGACAGGAGGGTCAGACATTCAGGTTTGAGGCCAGCCTGAGCTACAGGGAGACTGCCTCAAAACCTAGTATGGTGAACATACTGGTTAGTCCAGCATCAATACTCCGGAACTAAGGATGGCTGAGGCAAGGGGATCAGGAGTTTGAGACCAGTTTAACACACAGACAGAGAATGGAGTGATGATGTACCTGTTCCTGCAGGCTACTGATGGTATCTGGTGAGTTTAGTGGTGACCCATGCTGGAAGCCCTAGGTTACCTTTCAGCACCTAAAAAAAGTAATAATAATTTAGCTTTTTTTAAAAAATGGAAATTGGACCCAGGGCACAAATATGTCAG